AACTGGATGAAAGTTCCTTGCTGTAGGATCTATGGGTCTGCCTACGAACACAAGAGATGGTGCTCTTGGACCTTTGTTGCCAAAAACTACCAATTCAGTGCTTCGTTGCTTGTCCTCACCTGGAGCAGCATTGAGGCCAGTTTTGGATAGCACAGTTTTTGAAAAAGAGTAAGTTTACAGAATGAATGAAACCCAACGCAGGCAGGGAACAATCCTTTCCACGCAGCGGCAGCCAGCAGCAACAGTGCGGCAGGCGGCAAGGACGTGTTCGACAAAGTCTTGGAGTTGTGTACGAAGGCTGGAAATATTGTTCACTCGTTGAGGCAGTGTTAGAAACACATCATTCAGGCTCTGCTGGATGATGATGTTCGAGCACTGTTCCGCTTCACGCGGATCGTTACATCACCCTTCCGGTCACTATGCCATGCCTTGGTTCCTTGTTTGAAACAAGATACGTACATCCACCCTAACCCTACACCCTAAACCAGAACCCCAAACCTGGAAGCCCCTGTACCTAACAGCCTTGCCCACTAAGATTTTTTTATGTGTCATGTCATTCATCTAAGCAAACGAACATCACAAAGAAGTACGCGATGCACGAGCACTGCAAGTTCGTTGTGGACGGCTCCTTGCTGAATATGCTGATGCTCACTGCCCAAGACGCTCTCTGCTACACGAACCTTGGCCTCTTGGGCGCAAGTCCCGATTTGTTGGAGTCTTCAGATCCTGCTGCAGAGGCTTGTCTGAACAACTTGTGTTTTGTGATGCGCAGTGTGTGTTACGGAAACGCGTTTCACCATAACATGGTTGAATTGCAACCGGCTTTAGGGTTTAGGCTGAAGGGTTTTGGTTTCAGGGTTTAATAGTTTATGGTATTTAGGGTTTAGGGTTTAGGGTATGGGGACGGATTTTTGATGACAGCAATGCGGCTTTTGGAACTCTCCAGATGCCTGCAGCAATGATGTTCGTCCACGTAGCGCGAAAAACAAATCTTAGGTGCATCTAACCTGGCACGCACGGAAATGCCTGCGTGCCAGGTTTGCGGCTG